AGAGAAATTTTAGATGAAAAAGAATTGCATGTTTGGTATGAGTTGGTGCAATGTTTAGACAAAAAATCTGTTTTGTTTTTAAGACCTTATAAAGGCAAGGGAAGTAAGGCTTGGGAAATTTTGTGCAAAAGGTTCAAAAGCGCCGAGAGACCTAGACTGCAGCAATTGATTTCAGATTTAACTTCGATAAGAATGAAAACTAATGAGAGTGTAGTCGATTATATCACTAGAGCTGAAGAGTTGCAGTATAATTTAAATGAAGTAGACGAGGGTTTAAGTGAAAAGATGTTTGTGTCAATCATTCTTAAAGGTCTACCAAAAGAGTTCAATACGTTTTGTACTTTGGTTAAGTTTAGCAAAGATGATAAGAGTTTGAACGAAATTAAGAAAGATTTGTTAAACTTTGAAAGTGATCATAAAAATGAGAAGGAGGAGACTGAGCATTCGTTTATTTCGAGAATAAAAACATGTTTTAGGTGCAATAAGACAGGACACATAGCAGCTCATTGTAGATCTAACTTAGTGAATAAGGTTAACCAGTCATCTAGTGATAGACCTCCTGTGAAATGTTTCAGGTGTTTAGAAATAGGACACATAGCTAGGGATTGCAAGAAGGAATTTGAGAGAAAAAGCGTGAGAGAAGACCAGCTGTTAGCTGAAACTAATGAAACTCATTTTAGCTTTTACAACTCGGCTGAGAGAGTCGACAGTAACCTAGTTATAGATTCAGGCGCAACATGCAGTATGATAAAGGATAAAAATTTATTTGTTGAGCTTGACCAGAGTTTTAGCGAAACTGTTGAAAACGCTAACAAAACGGAGTCTAAGGTTTTAGGTAAAGGAAGAGTTGAATTTTTTGTGAAAGATTGTCAAGGAAATTCGAAAAAAATTTCAATGAGTGATTGTTTCTATGTACCAGAAAACTCAGAAAATTTAGTGTCAGTCTCAAAACTTACCAGAGGAGGAGCTAAAGTAGTTTTTGGAGATGGGTCATATATTGAGCAAGGAAATGGGACTGTTTATCCACTTAGTGAGCGAGGTAATCTTTTCATTTGGAAAATAATAGGACTTGGAAAACACGAAAAATTAAGTGTTGAAAAAATGCAAAACAATTCTTCTGAGTTCAGAGTCAGTAAGACTTATTTTTGCAGAGAAACAGAAGAGAAGAATTTTAATGAGCAAAAGGAGAACTTGTTAAAAGACGATGATATAAGGGAAGAAGTTGAGCTGAAAAATGAACCTAGAGCCCATCAAAAATCTAAAACGTCATTAAATCAACGAGGTAAGGAGGAGTCGAGAAACTTATGCGAGGTTGAGAAATTTCAGAGTATTGACATGAAATTAGGTTCAAAGCTAAGGGAGCGTAAGAAGTTTGAAAGCAGAGCAGGCAAATTGATACGGATATTTGACATAGGACAAAAGAAAAGTAATTTTGATCTTAACAAACATCGTATGGGACATGGTAAAACTGAACCTCCAGACTAGTGTAGGCTATGATTTAGTACTTATTTTGAAAGGAGGAGTGTTAAGTTTTAAAGAAATGACCTCTCACTTTATAGAGAAGTCATTTCCCACTTTTTGGTTCAAAATAGGAATTTGATTGGATATTGCACGATGTCACGCGATATCGCGCGATGTCATATCACGAGATCAGATCTCAACAGGCGGTTAACTTTCCATATATATAGAAGTTGATTTACTACTCTTTTATCGCTCTCTAATTAAACTGTTGATTATACATAGTTTTGCTGCCGACCTGTGAAAACAGTTTAATTAGAGAGCGATAAAAGAGTAGTAAATCAACTTCTATATATATGGAAAGTTAACCGCCTATTGAGATCTGATCTCGTGATATGACATCGCGCGATATCGCGTGACATCGTGCAATATCCAATCAAATTTTTATTTTGAACCAAAAAGTGGGAAATGACTTCTCTATAAAGTGAGAGGTCATTTCTCTAAAACTTAACATGTTAAGTTTTAGAGAAATGACCTCTCACTTTATAGAGAAGTCATTTCCCACTTTTGGTTCAAAATAAGAATTTGATTGGATATTGCACGATGTCACGCGATATCGCGCGATGTCATATCACGAGATCAGATCTCAACAGGCGGTTAACTTTCCATATATATAGAAGTTGATTTACTACTCTTTTATCGCTCTCTAATTAAACTGTTGATTATACATAGTTTTGCTGCCGACCTGTGAAAGGTTATGGGCCCAGCTGCTAAAATAAATGTCAGAAGTCAAGATTGATTGACTTAACGAAAAATACTGAGAGAGCAAGCTGTAAATTGTTGACACAGTTAAAGTCACAAAAAAAGACAAACGAGGAAAAAGTCAAAAAGAAGATAATGAACTGGCAGTCAGACAACAGAGCAATACAAAGAGTCAGTGAGACAGGGCATTGAGACAATTCAGTGATCAGTGAAGTCTAGAGTCACACGGAAAGCTGAAAGAAGCACACGAAAAAGAGATACACACAGAGAAAGAGAGAGAGAGAGAGAGAGAGAGAGAGAGAGAAAGAGAAAGAGAGAAAGAGAAAGAGAGAAAAAAAACAGTGATAGATAGAAACTGACAAACTGTTCATTTTGATAAACTCATTTGATGTGGTGTTTTATAAATTTGTAGATACTTGTTGTTGCTTGGGGGGATCGTAATCCGTCGCGGTGAGATCTGAACTTCAATCAGATTTAAAAAATAGAAGTTCAAAAAAAACACTCCAAAATTTCTATTGTGCTAATATATATTGCTATGTATGAAGTCTGTGAAGTAACCTTAGCTTTGCTACATCGCTGATGTGTTATTCAGTACGCTTATCGTTAGGTTTTGGATCAGACTTAGGTAATGAGATACATGATTACTTATATTATGCGCTGCGTTATGTTTGCTGATATAATATAATCTGAATTTTTGGTCATTGAAAAGTACGTGGAACATAAGGTCTTTGTTCAGAGCAATACGATTTAGTTGAAAAATGTCTAAGTCAGAGCGAATAGTGTTTTCAGGAAAAGAAGAAGATTTTTTGTATTTTGCAGAGCAATTTGAGGCTAGAATTTTTCATCTTAAACTGAATAAAGTTATCAATAGAGAAGTAGATGAGAAAAATTTTGCACCCAGTGTTAGGAATAATGCTACTGTAGATCAGAGAGAGGCATCTTTAAGAAAAGGGAGAGAAATTTTAGATGAAAAAGAATTGCATGTTTGGTATGAGTTGGTGCAATGTTTAGACAAAAAATCTGTTTTGTTTTTAAGACCTTATAAAGGCAAGGGAAGTAAGGCTTGGGAAATTTTGTGCAAAAGGTTCAAAAGCGCCGAGAGACCTAGACTGCAGCAATTGATTTCAGATTTAACTTCGATAAGAATGAAAACTAATGAGAGTGTAGTCGATTATATCACTAGAGCTGAAGAGTTGCAGTATAATTTAAATGAAGAAGACGAGGGTTTAAGTGAAAAGATGTTTGTGTCAATCATTCTTAAAGGCCTACCAAAAGAGTTCAATACGTTTTGTACTTTGGTTAAGTTTAGCAAAGATGATAAGAGTTTGAACGAAATTAAGAAAGATTTGTTAAACTTTGAAAGTGATCATAAAAATGAGAAGGAGGAGACTGAGCATTCGTTTATTTCGAGAATAAAAACATGTTTTAGGTGCAATAAGACAGGACACATAGCAGCTCATTGTAGATCTAAGTTAGTGAATAAGGTTAACCAGTCATCTAGTGATAGACCTCCTGTGAAATGTTTCAGGTGTTTAGAAATAGGACACATAGCTAGGGATTGCAAGAAGGAATTTGAGAGAAAAAGCGTGAGAGAAGACCAGCTGTTAGCTGAAACTAATGAAACTCATTTTAGCTTTTACAACTCGGCTGAGAGAGTCGACAGTAACCTAGTTATAGATTCAGGCGCAACATGCAGTATGATAAAGGATAAAAATTTATTTGTTGAGCTTGACCAGAGTTTTAGCGAAACTGTTGAAAACGCTAACAAAACGGAGTCTAAGGTTTTAGGTAAAGGAAGAGTTGAATTTTTTGTGAAAGATTGTCAAGGAAATTCGAAAAAAATTTCAATGAGTGATTGTTTCTATGTACCAGAAAACTCAGAAAATTTAGTGTCAGTCTCAAAACTTACCAGAGGAGGAGCTAAAGTAGTTTTTGGAGATGGGTCATATATTGAGCAAGGAAATGGGACTGTTTATCCACTTAGTGAGCGAGGTAATCTTTTCATTTGGAAAATAATAGGACTTGGAAAACACAAAAAATTAAGTGTTGAAAAAATGCAAAACAATTCTTCTGAGTTCAGAGTCAGTAAGACTTATTTTTGCACAGAAACAGAAGAGAAGAATTTTAATGAGCAAAAGGAGAACTTGTTAAAAGACGATGATATAAGGGAAGAAGTTGAGCTGAAAAATGAACCTAGAGCCCATTGAAAAATCTAAAACGTCATTAAATCAACGAGGTAAGGAGGAGTCGAGAAACTTATGCGAGGTTGAGAAATTTCAGAGTATTGACATGAAGTTAGGTTCAAAGCTAAGGGAGCGTAAGAAGTTTGAAAGCAGAGCAGGCAAATTGATACGGATATTTGACATAGGACAAAAGAAAAGTAATTTTGCTCTTAACAAACATCGTATGGGACATGGTAAAACTGAACCTCCAGACTAGTGTAGGCTATGATTTAGTACTTATTTTGAAAGGAGGAGTGTTAAGTTTTAGAGAAATGACCTCTCACTTTATAGAGAAGTCATTTCCCACTTTTTGGTTCAAAATAAGAATTTGATTGGATATTGCACGATGTCACGCGATATCGCGCGATGTCATATCACGAGATCAGATCTCAACAGGCGGTTAACTTTCCATATATATAGAAGTTGATTTACTACTCTTTTATCGCTCTCTAATTAAACTGTTGATTATACATAGTTTTGCTGCCGACCTGTGAAAAGAAATAGTAATGTTTATGCTTGAGCCGGTTTATTTTATTTATCGTACCGTTTTTAACTAAGCCTTCTTGAAGAAATTTTTAAAATTCTTCTAAGCGATAGTGTTTTCTTGAGCTCAGTGTACACGTTTTGTAAGGTAACGGGGCTTTGGACGTTGCTAATTTGGCCATTTTGGGATACTTAATGTGAAATTTTGCCTTCTCATACCACGCGTGCATTCAAAATTTATGCATTCAAAATTTACTTCAAGCCAGTAAAGTAGTCTTATTAAAAGAAGACGAAGCGCTCAATTCGCCCTTTGTGCTTTAAATATGGGGCTATAAAATGCATGAGGTGGAAAACATGAACAAAAAAAACGATTTTTGAAATTATTTCGTCAATTAGTCAATCAAAACAATTATTATTTGGCCCTAAAGTGCAGTCAGAACATTCGGGGCTTCGCCCTGATATACATACGGTCTTGTTAGGTTTTTATTTTCATTCCAAATTACAAGAAAATTAAAAGTTTTGTTTGCTGACCTTGTTTGCTGCAAGAACGTGTTTTGTCGTTTGCTTTTCGTATAATTAAACCGATTTTTGACGATTTTTGAAATTGCCAAATGTCAAAAAGTTGCCAAATGTTTTCACCAAACAAAATAAAAATAACTTAAAAAATTCAAAATGCTTTTCCACACGTCAGGCAGATTGGTACAAAAATACTGGGGGGCAAAAGTGACCGGGAGTCTCACCAAAATAGTTATTAGAAAACTGAGAAAAACGCTGGAAAAGTTTTTCAGAAAGTTCTCACTTGATGTTCATTTTGTTAGGAACTATGAACATATATCAAAAGATTGACAAAAAAAAACAAAAAAACAACTCAGCCGTAAAATAGAAAAATTGGAAAAAAAAAGAAAACAGCTTTGATTATAACTCAACTTTATTAGTTAATATTTTGGGAATTAAAAATGATCAAAATTCAGAGCAAAATAACCTAAAGTGAATTTTTTTTTTAGTTTTACCATATAAAGAAAGAAATAATTGACAAAAATTAATAGAATAAGTTAAGTAATCGGTCAATTTTAAGGAATTACTCGCCTGAGTAAAACTCCCAATTGTAATTTTTAATAAACCGGCCCCAAAACATTTTCGTCAAAACGGTTTGTTTATATTATATTTGATACGTAGTTGTATTATAATTGATCCGTATTTAAATAAACAAGCATTAATAACGTTAACGAAGTTACATACATCAGGATCGATAAATGAAAAATCAATTTCTAATTTTTATACAAAATAAAAGGCGGCTTTTAAGAAGAAAAAACAGTAAAATTATAGAAAACGAAAATGTAATCGTTTCTAGTTTACACAATGTACTTGACTCTTTCTTGCTTTGAACTTTGATTTGATTACAAATTAGTTGGTTGCTCGTGTTTGGTAACACAGTTTTGCATTTTTTTCAATTTTGTATTTGCTGAGTTTTGGTTTTCAATTTCTTTCCCGGAGTTTTCCTGATTGCATGTGAAAAGTTGAAGTCATTTGAGATGATTGTCAATTGTCAAATTGGCATATAACACTCGGCCTCATTTTGCAGTTGCAAATTAAATTAGGTAAAAAGGGATGTAGTAGTTCCTACTTATAAAACCTAAAACGCTGGCTTAACGGTCGTTTAAGTGTCAGTTGAAGTTATCGGCTATGGCTGTCGGTGCAAGTCTGCTTTGGGGTGAGGCTCTCATTGTTTCGAATCTTTGTTTGCTGGTTGATTACAATAATCCGGACTAACAGGTGCTAGTGTAATGGCTGGTATTGACACAATTTTGTCTCTAATTTTGACGAAGTAAACGCGGATCTGGTCATCATCGGTTGGTTTGTTTCCTGTGATTCGTCCAATTGGCCAGAGTCCTCGTGGCGTCATATCCTGAAGAATCCAGACAATTCCTCCTAATTTGATAGGCGGCGTCTTCTTTATCCATCGTTGTCTTGGCAGTAGTGTTGGGATAAACTCCTTCATCAAGCGTTTCGAAATATGGGTTTCGAGTTGATGGGTGAATTTCCATTGTCGACTGAGTGTTGACGACTGTTGGGTTTGTAGAGGTGGCAAGCTGGCATGCGCTCTCCCGAGAAGAAAATGATTAGCGGTGAGGGCTTCAACATCATCGGGCGATGCTGAAACTGTAGTGATGGGTCTTGTGATCGTGAAGTGTTCAACTTCGCAAAGAACGGTGTTGAATATGTCGTCTGTTAGAATCTGGCTTCCTATGATGGCATAGAACGAGTCTTTGACTAATTTTATGAGTCGTTCCCATACACCTCCGAAATGAGGAGCATAGGCAGGGTTGAAGGTCCATGCAATCTGATGGTTGGCGTAGAACTGTCGTGTAACATCGGCGTCGAAGTGTCTGTTGAGTTCTTTTTCGGCTGCGGTGAAATTTGTACCATTATCAGAAACAATTTTGGCTAGTTGTCCTCTGCGTGCAAAGAATCGTCGTAAGGTATTGATGAAGTCATCGGATGATTGGTCCTGGCATATCTCAAGATGTACGGCTCGTGTTGTTAGGCAAGTCATTATAACGCCATAGCGATTGTTGTAGTTTCCTGCGGTTTTCGAAGCAAGCGGTCCAAAGAGATCTAATCCTGTTTGTTGAAACGGGAAGAGTTTATCTTCTGGAAATCTGAAAGCGGGTAGGGGCGCAGGTTCCGGCTGTAGTCCAGTTGCCTGTTGTCGTTGGCAGTCCTAACAGTTTTTTATGATCTTGTCAATGTGTGCGCGAACACAGAGAATCCAATTCTCGTTTTGAAGAATATTTTTCAAGTGCTGGCGTGGCGAATGCTGGTTGTTTTGTGTGTTTGTCCTATAAAGAGGTGAACTGCTGGGTGGTTTCCACCAAGGATAATCCATCAAGTGTATTATGCAATAGTCCAACTGAGATTTCTCGAGGCGTCCACGTGCTCGCAAGAGTCCGTCTTTGTCTAGAAATGGTGATAGATATCGAAGTCTGCTAGTTGTGTTGATTCGTTTATTTTGTGTCAATGCGTTGACCTTTGGTTTGAAGCTGTCTCGTTGCGTCTGCTTGAAGATAAAATTCTTTGCGGCAATCATGTTGTTGCTTGTCAATTCGGTGGTCGGGCTTTCGTTGCATGAGTGTAGTCTCTTATCTTTGAAAATCCTGGCGGCACGCATCACGTATGCAGTTGTTCTGAGAATTCTTGTCCATTTGGAGAATCTGCTGTAATCGATGAAACTTAGTCCTGTCTTTTTGGTGGAAGCTTGAAAAGCTAGCACTGGGGTTGTTGCAATTTCATCCATGTGTCCAGTTTGATCGTTGAGTTGCAATGTATCCGTATTGGCGTCGCTTAACTGTAGCCTTGGCCAGTTGCATTCTGGTTCACATATGAATTTCGGTCCGGTGAACGATCTTGACTTGTTACTGAATTCTGATAGGGATATTGCACGGGTTCCGTCGTCTGCTGGGTTTAGGGGTCCTGGGCAATGATTCCATTGACTCGCTTGGGTGCTTTCCAAAATTTCTGCAACTCTGTGAGCCACAAAAATTTGTTGTCGTTTAGCAGATCCCTGTATCCATTGAAGCGCTGTTGTGCTGTCTGTCCACATATGCGTAAAGTTGATGTCAATCCTTTGTTCTCTGCGCTCTGCGAATGAACTTTGCGAGGCGAGCACCAAAAACTGCGGCTTGTAGTTCCAATTTAGTTATTTGTGTGTTTTTTAGAGGAGCCACTCGAGCTTTTCCTAGAACAAAGGCGCTGCTGATTTGCCGAGTGGCACTGCTGCTGTATACAAAATAAGCGACTGCTGCTAGGGCGCTGTAGGAGGCATCTGAAAAAACATGAAGAGCGATATTGTCGTAGCTGTATCCAAAATAGTGTCGAGATATTTCCACTGTCCGTAGATCGTTTCTCTCGTCGAGAAGCTCAAAGAGTTCAAGTATCATTTCTTGTGTATTTTTGGCCGTCCCACTTCATTCATTCTCTCCAAATTGCTTGCTGGATTATTCGTAGTCGAATAGTAATAGGTGCTGCTATTCCAATTGGGTCAAAGATTGAAGAAGTTGCGCGAAGTAGGTTCCCTTGTGTAGGTTTCTTCTGAGCGAGTTCGTGTAGTTTGTCAGTACTGAAGATGAGTGTATCGTTACTTACTCTCCATCGTATTTCGAGAATTCGCTTGAAGATTTGAGGGTCCTTGATTTCGTCTATGGTGATGGATCTTTGTTCTTCTGGTATTGTTTGCAGAATTCTATGATCCGTAGTGATCCACTTTGTCAGGTTGAAGCTTCCTTTTTGTAGTACGTGTCGAAGGTCTTCTATGAATTTTACTGCGGTGTCGGTGTTATCGGTGGCTTCGAAGAAGTCGTCCATGTAGAAGTTGTCGTAGACAAGTTTTTTGATGTGGGGATGACTTTCAGCATTGTCGTCTGCGCAAGTTTTTAATGCGTAAATTGCACAATTGGGAGAACATTTGGCTCCAAAGACGAATCGAGTGTACTCAAAAAAATTGGGTTCTTCCGCTCCCCAGAGAAAACGAAAAAAATTATCTGTCTTCGCGGTTAACAGAAACCTGCATATACATCCCTTCAATGTCGCTTGGGATAAACTCCTTCATCAAGCGTTTCCAAATATGGGTTGCGAGTTGATGGGTGAATTTCCATTGTCGACTGAGTGTTGACGGCTGTTGGGTTTGTAGAGGTGACATGCTGGCCTGCGCTCTCCCGAGAAGAAAATGATTAGCGGTGAGGGCTTCATCATCATCGGGCGATGCTGAAACTGTAGTGATGGGTCTTGTGTTCATGAAGTGTTCAACTTCGATGTTATCGGTGGCTTCGAAGAAGTCGTCCATGTAGAAGTTCTCGTAGACAAGTTTTTTGATGTGGGGATGACTTTCAGCATTGTCGTCTGCGCAAGTTCTCAATGCGTAAATTGCACAATTGGGAGAACATTTGGCTCCAAAGACGAATCGAGTGTACTCAAAAAAATCGGGTTCTTCCGCTCCCCAGAGGAAACGAAAACATTTTCTGTCTTCGCGGTTAACAGAAACCTGCATAGACATTCCTTCAATGTCGGCAGTGATTCGGTGCTTACCTTCGCGAAATTGCGTAATTACTCCTAGTAGATTGCAGAGCAAGTCAGGTCCAGTGAGAAGCATATCATTCAGACAAACTCCTTTAAATTTGGATTTCGCATTGGAAACACGGCGAAGTTTTCCTGGCTTGTTTGGGTTGATTACGCCATGTTCAGGTAAAATCCATCCTGTCGAAGGTATTTCGTCTGGCTCTAATTTCCGTATGTAGTGCTTGTTGAGATCCTGGTCAATTGTATTCTGGTAGAGAGCCAACTTTTCTGAATTTTTGTTAACTTGTATTTTCATCCGGTTGTATTGGGCAATTGCTGCTTTTTAGTTGTTGGAAAAATTTGCATTTGGTTTCCACAGAAGTCCAAGTTGATAGCGGTTGTCGTAGAATGATATGGTTTTCCGAAGTGTTTGCATAGCGTGTCTTTCGTCAGATGACATAGTTATTTCAGGTGATGTGGCATAGGTTTCCATTCGCCAGAATGAAGCGAGAAGATCCGAGATTTGTGTGTCGTCAGTTGATATCTGTTTTGGGGTGGCTGTTGCTTGGTGGCTTGAGAAGTATCCAGTGTCGTTGTTGGGTCCTGCTATTGTCCATCCTAGGGCTGTAAGGACTGCTCGAGGAACATTTTGATTTCCTTTCATGGGGGTCTTCGGGCTGATAATGTCAATATTGTCCGTTCCAATCAATAGGGCTACGTCGTTTTTTCTGAAGTCTGGAAAACATATATTCTTAAGGTGGTCGAAATGGCTGCAGATGTCGTTCAACTTTTCGGGCTACGCTGCATTCAAGTTGATGTTCTCTTTAATTAAAATATTAGTTAGCTCAAACGCTAAAACGTTATTTCCAAATGAATGAATTGTAATATCCACTGTCTTAGCCTCTATCGTTTGCGTGTTGAAGAAACCTCCAATGAGAAGTTGTTCCTGATTGTTAGTTTCCTCCAGTTGAAGATATGCTGCTGTCGGTTGCGATATGTAGGTGTTTGTACTTCCTGTACCAAGAAAGGCGTATACATTAAGGTATATGTTGCGGTGTCGTAATGTTACTGGTAAAAGTAGCAGCAGTGAGTTGTTGATTCTTGATATCTTCTTTTGGCTGGCAAGATGGTTGAGTTGATTCGGTCGCTGGTTTGGATTGAACTTTGGTGTTATTTGTGTTCGTAGTTCGTCGTGTAGAGTTGTGTGATGATGCTGATTGCATTTGCTGCATATGCGCTTTGATGGGCAGTCTTTTACTTGATGTTGGCCAAGGCAGTTGAAACAAAGTTTCTTTTCAGAAACGAGTCTCTTCTTCTCTTCCAAAGATGAATTCTGATACTTGCTGCAGTATGCTGGGTGGTGAGTTTGTCTGTCGAAGGCTGGTTGATTGATGGTCGCAATCCGTTGGCGTGTCGAAGTTTTGGGGCTATTTGTTGTCGATCGCTCGAGTCCAGGGTCAGTTGCTGCGGTTGCATAGATGGTAAATGATCGCATGCTAATGCAAACTGTCTGATCCAGTCGTTGAAGGCGATAAAATTAGGCTGGTCGATGTTCTGGGCGGTGATGTACTGTGTCCATTGAAGCTGCAGATGACGTTGCAGTTTGCTGACGGCATATTGAACGTATATTGTAGAGTTCAAATCGTCTTTGAACCCAAGCGTCCAAAACGTTTCCACTATGTTTTTGATGAATGTGGAAAATTCCATGAACGAATCCTTGTGATGAGTTGATGGTTGCTTGAAGCTCTGTAGTCTGTTGACGAAATCATTGATGATGATGTCGGGTCGTCCATATCGTCGTCGTAGTTCGTGGAGGGCAGCGTTGTACATAGTGCTATTGCAGGAGTAGCCAAACATAGCTTGATTTGCTTTTTCAGTCGTTAAAGTCTGCAGATGAGTCATCTTTTCGGCGCCCGAGATGGGTTGATTGTGGATTGCTGCTTCGAAGAGTCCGAACCACATGCTCACTTCATAGTGTTTCCGCCGAAAGGCTCAATTTTTACTTTTGGGTGTCTAGTCATGAGGCTGTAATTTGCTCGCGACTGTCCGTTACTTGATGTTTGAGATTTTGCTGCTGGAATGAACTGCTGTTCTGTAACTATGTTGAAGCTGAGGTTTGCGTTGGTGGTGTCGTGTTCTGTTTGTTGAAGTGGTGGTCTGTTTATTTCGAGACCTGTCTGGGAGACTTGCTGCTGAGTATCTTGGCTATCTGAAGAGTTTTGGTCCTCTACTGTTTGCTGAGCTGATGATCCGGGCTGATGGCTGCTTTTGGATAATGTTGACGCCTGGCTAGAGTCCCGATCTAGTATTGTCTGTCGTTGCACTGAATCAGCTGTTTGGGGGGCTTGAACTGTGGTGGCATTAGTGTTCTGCTGTTGTGGAGTTGTCTCTGCTGTTTTTTCTTGTAGCATCTGTCTAAATTCATCCATGATGTCGTCGTGTTCGTCTTGTCTTGTATATCAGTGAAGCGGTTGATGAGATCCTCCGCAGTGGCGTGCTCAGTCGGGTGGTCTACAAGGTACGTAGTGGTGTCTTCCAAATTGCTGAGACTTTTCTTCATCTCGGTTTCTGAGTCAGCTATGTTGTAGTTTGTATTGATGTCACTGATGGCTTTTCGTACTCGTCTGAAGAGGCGCTCTAGTTGGGCGATGAGAAGATTTCTCTGGGGGAGAGTGGTTTTGTTTGGCATGGCTAGTTTGTCGTAGTTGATCGTTGTTGTCGTTGCAGTTGTTGTAAATGTCGTATCCAGTCGTAGTTTTGACCTACTTTGTTAGTTCATGTCCTAGGTAGCTAGACCTAAACTTAAAAAGGAACAAAGCAAAAGAACAATGGTGCGGTAAATATTTTTTCAAATAAGTATAACGAAAAAAAATAAGCAATTGAAAGTTACAAATGCTTAATAGTAAACCGTTCTGATACTTAAACAGGCGGAAAGTAATACAAACCAAACGTAAAGTTAACGTTCCTATACCAAAGTTAAGCTATGGGGGTCCAAATTGTTAAACCCAATTATTTTTTTAAATCTTAAGCAACTGCAAAACGAGTGTTTCTTGGTTGGCACTAAAGACAAACTGTGCTTCCAGCCTGGTCAGGGGGTAGAGCAAGGGTGTGGTTTCTGGCAATTGAGCTGAGTGCCATATAGAAAACGAAATGTAATCGTTTCTAGTTTACACAATGTATTTGAGTCTTTCTTGCTTTGAACTTTGATTTGATTATAATTTAGTTGGTTGCACGGGTTTGGTAATTCAGTTTTGCATTTTTTTCAATTTTGTATTTGCTGAGTTTTGGTTTTCAATTTTTTTCCCGGTGTTTTCCTGATTGCATGTGAAAAATTGAAGTCATTTAAGATGATTGTCAATTGTCAAATTGGCGTATAACCAAAATCTGGCAAAATAACTCATAGGTTAGATTTTTAATCGATTCCAATTTGTTGATAGACGCGCTTATATTTTTTACTGTAAAATGTTTCCAACTTCCTAGTTGACAAACCTACCTGAGCTCTCTTTCAAGGCCTCACGATAATACTCAATTCTTATGCACATCAAAAAATTCAACAAATTAATTTCAGACAGGTTGCTATTTCAAGCTTGTGAGTCATTTCTTGTTTTTCAAGAAAGCGAAAACACATCGTTAAAGTCGGATATTCTTGTTGAGATAGATTAGGTTATAGATTATCATGAGGAACAATGCTGAGCTTGAGTGCTTTGAAACTATTTGTGAACGGTTTGAAGTTAACTTAAAGAAACCTCGTTCAAATATTTCAATTTGCAGACGGTACAGTTTTCGCCTATTACATAACTTAACAAACAAATTTTTAGGATGGCGCATCATTAATTTTTTCCGAAACAAATCTTTGATGCGGAAAAAAGTAGGCTGAGATTTGAAAAAAAATCAAAATTGTGCGGTTCAGTGATTTCCTAAAATGAGGGGAACAAGGTTCAGCTCAAAATCAGGTAAAATAGACAAAAAACATTACGAGGCCAAACTGTGCAGCATTTTGTGAATTGTAAGCGGATTCCGCAAAAAGCAAAATAAGATTTCCAGAATCAGTTTGTGGTATCCAAGAGCAAATAATAATATATGTTGTTACAAACTTATGCTGTCGCGGAATGAACAATTGTAAGTGGAATCCGCAAATTGCAAGCGGATTCATCAATTTGTAAACGGAATCCGCAAATTGTAAGCGGAAATTGCATAATTTTGCGGATTGCACTTACAGTTGCGAAATCCGTCTATATTTGCGGAATCCAAACCAGCTACCTATATTCGTTCGTTGCGGAATCGGCAACAAAATCAATGTTCCGATAAAACTTACGTTAGAGGTATTTGTACGCGGAAACCACTCAAACTTTGTAAGTGAAATCCACTTACATTTTGGAACATATTTGAAGATTTGTCTCTGGAATCCTGGAAAATACAGACGTAAAAGTGTGCGCCTACCCAGTGCACAAATTGGCCTCGAAATAATTTATAGGTAAAAAATTAAATAAACCGACTAGCAAATGTTTTGCGTATTTTGGCCAATAATCTTGTAATGGTATATTAGCGTAATTAATTCTAATTATGTTTACAACTGATCCCGCCTTTGTCACTGTGACACTGTTTGAGCAAGCTGCGATTGGAAATATTGATCATTTGAACCGACAATTAAAATGGGATATAAGTCTTTGCTACATGAGAAATCAGTTAAATTGATGTTGTGATCTGCTCTCGAAAAATGGTGCAGTTCCAGCAGCGTTATTCTCATAAGAAAGTTATACTCGCTCTGCTCTTTCGGCTGAAAATATTCATATAGGGACCAGTTTAAGTTTATGTTAGTTATGTAAGTTTATGTAAGTAGTTTGTCTTCTGTCTGGGGACCTGCTGCTGTGACCTTGCGATCGATATTGTTCATAAATGCTAAAACAACCAAGTGCAGTAAAGTTAGATTTTCATACCGTACAGTTGCCTTATGAAATTAATCTTTCATTACCAAACTTTTTTGGATCTTCAACATGGCGCAGCCATCTGAAAGAAAAGGAGGTGGTAAAAATCTATTGAATATACTATCGTTCAGGGACGCGCGTACGCCGAAGCCTTCGACCTACTCGGAAGAGTACTAAATCAAGTTCTACTGGAGAGTGATTGCAAAATATGATATCGATCCCGATGGTTTTTATTTTGCAAATACCCTAAACGCAACGGCGATTGCAGCGCTCCCGGAGGAAATCAACTGAAAAAATTGAATAAAAGCGGAGAAAAAGTTAAGATCGAATCCGTATCTCTGCATTGGGGACAAAGCACAGAGGATATTTAAAGCAAGAACACTGGCGATTA